GTTGGGTGAGCTTTGATCCGTTCTGTGCTTTAGTGAAGTGACCCTGGTGTCATGTAATGCTGCGCGACTTTCATTCCTTCCTCCCAGTAGTCGACTAACTGGAGATATTACCATGCGTGAGTGCAAAGTCAAGATGGATCGCGTAGGTGTTGCTTCCAAAAGAGGTCTCGGAAATGGGGTTTTTTGTACCATCTCTTTTAGAAGGTCGCTCCGAACTAGACGTTCTCGCCCTTTTGAAGCCTTGCTGGTTCTTTCATAGTTTTCGCGATACAGACATCATTTTCAGTGAGTTGCGCAATTTGCTTAAACCGTCGATCGAGCAGCTTATTCGTACCAATAGGAAGAACGTGCTGAAGCAGGGTTTCACGTTCCGACGCCAAGTGAAAGGAAAGACCCCTCATAAGGGTGAAGGTACGAACATCTCGCTGTCTATCACGTTCTGATAATGAAATGAAATGCTCTTGAACACTCTTTTGTCAAGTTTTTTATCCCAATGTTTGATTCCAATCATCACAGATACTTTGTTTTATTTATTTCGTTTGAGTGCATCATCCTGATTTTTCTTTCATTGAGGAGTTTTGAAAGCAGTGGGTCGAGCGAAAATAGCTCGACGGCAGCTTTTTCTTTAAAGTTCAGATAGCTTTGAAGTTTTAGAGGGCAATATTGCAGTATTATTTTGATACATTTTAACATATTCTTCGCCATGTTCATTGTTCGCGTTTCCAGACCAGTATTGCTTCTGGAAATTGGATGCGTCAGACGTATTATGTCTAACCGATACCGATGCTGACCCGTATGTGGAGGGAGTATCACATGCAGGAAATGTCCGAAGAGGTATCGAAGAGCTTTAAACATTTTATGGGATCCGATAACTTTCGCTTCACTGGATTTTTGCTATCGCGCAGTGTAATCTGTTGCGAAGGCTATGACTGAGCTGTGGGTTGAGAATAAATAAAAGTAGTATAGCTGCTCACCTTATTTTTGTTTCTGTGATGATCTGAATGTAAAAATTTACATTGTTGACGATAATGCGCAAGAAATCTATTTCCATCAAACAATTTTTTGTTCGGATTTTTGCACGAGGAAAGATTTAATGAAGGCTCTGTTTCAGTTGCGGCTAAGGATATTGCGTCGGTAGATCGTGGTGAGGATGTAACAGGACGAAAGAGTGGAGCACAGTTAATGCGGTGCATACGTATCGTCCTGCACAATGGTGATTCGATCAGTGGAGCGACGTTCTCCGATCGAGTACTGACAATGTGGCTGGACGGATTGAATGATCTCATTGGTAGCGGTTCACTCAGGTGAGTTGGACAAAGGCTATGTTCTGTTAGTGATGAATTTTATGACAAAAGGGTTTTGAATGAATAACTGATTTTCTTTGAGTGAGTTTTTTTCGTTTCTTTGGCTTCATATTAGTTGTAACAACGATTTAGGCTGATTTTCTACTATATTTATTATTTTTCTTACAATAGCTCATTCAATAATAACAGTGAATATGAATAATGGCATTATCGGGAAACAACAATGCCGTAGAGCATAATTTAATTTAATTAACAATTTGATTGCTGATAAGTCATCTCTTCTACTTATATAAAATACATGTAATAGTTATAATATTCAGTCGCGATGCAATGACCACTGCCGATCGCTTGCTGAACATCGAACTACGCCTCAGACTGTTGGATGTGCCGAATCCGCAGTCATCTGTCGAAGTGCCTCCTTTACCCGACGATTTCTCGTGGGTGAAGCCATTCGCCCACGATTTGGCTTTCTGATCACACGCGGTGCCTCTAATGGGAGAAAACTGCCCTCAGTAATTGCAAAATGGGTTTTGCGGATTCATCGATCACTCACCATCACTGCACGGGTTAATTGGTTTCTGGTCAGGCCTGAACAGTCCTAGCGATCAGATTTTTCCAAAGCTAATCATCCCAATCGTGAGAGGGCAAGGACTGAGTTGGAGAATCAATCTTGAACGTAGGATGCTTTTGTACTTCATTGTATAGGGTAAAGCTTGCTAAAGCCTCCCGGCCTTTATCTAGGGTTGTGTATGCAGACGTATAGGCTTTCTCCGATGGGTGACTCTAAACAACTGAGACGACCTTTCGAAACGTTCTTATAATAATAACTTAATATATTCCATAATATTCCAAGAATGATATCATTGTTGTTTCTTGTTTTCTATTCGCTACTTCATTAACTGTTGAGTATTCATTGAGTATTCGCTTACTCACTTGCTTTATTATTTTGATCATCGATCGTATTCGCGACCCGTTATTGCGCTTAAAACCGTCATTCCATCCGAAATAACTTTTCATGGTGCGCGCGGTCGCGCTGCGGTGCTGACTCTGGGGCCACAAAGTGGTGGTGGTCAGCTGGCTTCGATGCGCGACGCGACCGCTCGTGACAATGCCTATCGTGGTGTATTCCTGCGCATCGAAAGCTGTCCTGTACATTGGGTAACAGCGATTCATTACCGGTTTGGTTGTGCTGCATTTCATTTGAGTATAGCGTCAGTTGTGTACCTTTAGAATCGCCTCAGTATTTCGTTTCGGTTATATCGGCCTGTATGTTTATCACCTAAATGTCTTCTTTCATTTATGGTTTTGCATGCTTTCGTATTTATTTAATAAAATGTCTTCAAATCTGTCATGTGGTTTTCCTTGAAATGGCGTGGCTGATAAGGTCATCGATCGTCGTCGTGCTGTAAGACTGTTTGTTAGCGATTGATTATATGGATGCAAGTATTAAGTGTCACCAGTTCAGTGGTTATCGTCACAGGTTTCGAAATGGGGTTGACCGTATGATTTACTAACTTATTCACGTTCAATTACTTAAATACAAAGTGAGCAGTCGATTGGTTTTTCAACTATCTTTTTGTGAAGCATCTTTGATTAGTGGCCTTCAATTGTGCGCTTTTAATCTTTTATCTCCTGCTGGATTATAATACTAGGCCAAAAAATGTGGAGGTGCTTAGTGATTGAGAGGTTGTCATGCGCTTGAAACATGGAGCCGCAAAGATGGCTGTATGCGCGCGATATTGTTCTATACCTTTTGTAAAACTTTTTTTCAAATCCTGAAAATATGAACAAAACTTTTTAGCTCTTTCAACATTTTTCAACCTTCTAATGACGACAGGTTGATTGACGACAGACATAAGAAGATGAATAGAGACGTTGGCTTTCGGGGTTCAATCAGAAGTTTGCAAAAGTCGGCAAACAGAAAGGGATAGAACACTTTTTGAATTCAATTAATGGCCCTTATAGGAAAGGACGACTTTTTCAGAAAAAGGACGATTCGGAAGCTTGGGTAGGGGTGTTACGCTCACGCGACATGCCGCGCAGCGAGACAATTAACTAAAGCATGACCCGCGGTCGGACAACTAACTAAGAGTCTTCGTGCGTTGAGTCAAAAGCCACGCACCCTTGAGTACTCGTTACTGTTTTAATAATTTAGCCCTGCTTTAGTAGAGATGGCGATAGATCCAAGCTCTTTGGCTGGTGGCTATTTCATCCTATTCTTACTGAATGTGTAGAGGTCACCGACTTGTTCGCACCTGAAAATTTTGGATGTTTTTCAAAGTGTAAACTTATTTTCTTCTTTGTGCAGCAAAGAAAAGAATGTTAGGGAGTTTGGCCGAGTCTTCTGTATCTTATCATTTCTACTGAAATATTTCTATTGGAATATTTCTAGAAAACCCGGAGTATCGAGGAATTTGGAAACAGCAGTGTATGCTGGCGCGGAGGTGGTTAGGATTTCAGGCAGTAAAGGTTGTTAACAATTTTCCAATTCATTTAGGATTTTACTACCCTTTCGACCGCTCTTTAGTCGCTTTCAAAGCAACCATCTGTCCATCGTTTTCATTTTGCTTACATACTCTCAGGTTTTTAAGAGTCATCAATAATTCTGTTCATTGAACACTATTCAAAATAAAGTAGTAATTGCATCTCTTGTATG